CAGTTTCTTTCTTGCGGTACATCACAACCAAAAAAACTTGTCAAATTAACCAAATCTTTATTGTAAACAGCTCCATGAATGCTCCTATCTCCGAGACTTCACAAAAAAATAACTCTTGCACGTCTTGCGTGCTTATGTTTAATTAATGCCATTAATGACGTTAATATATTTCAGTCGGTGAAATGAGACGTATTTATGACTCATTGAACTGGTTTTATTGAAYCGTTTATTGACTTTATTGTATAACAGATTCACTGCATTGACAAATCCGAAATTCGCTGTCGGTCTATTTTGACACTGGTGTCGCTTTCCCCGTTTCGCTGGAGTAGCCTGTCGTTCGTCGCCAGTTCGTGGCTCTCGTGTCGCCGTTTCAAGGCCATGTCGCTTGTCGGAATTTCTCTCTAACAGGGCCTCATTGATAACCTAATCAGAATCAGTAACACAATACTTGAAATGGCGATAAGTCCACTTCATTTTCCTGTGAGGAGGTTATTTGTTAAGCGACGTCGAACATACGTAGTTTTGACAATTGTTGTATCTTTCATAGGATATTTCATATTTCTCGCCACTCCGGCAAACAAGCTTTGCAAAAGTGTCAACAGCATGTGTTTGTGAAACAAGTGGAACAATTGATAACAATGTTGCAGTCATCGCATCGAACGAACACGAACTCGATTCCCGAGCGCCTGCTGAAAGTTTGAACGTTCACATGTGGTCTGAATTATGTGGAAAGGACATCGATGTTTTGAGAAACTGGCCTCATTTTCCTTACTATCCGAACAAACGTTCTTTTATTTCGGAATTTCGCAAAACTCAACCTCTCGATGCGGAAAACAGTGGAGTAAGGATTTTTGGATTTGTCCTTCCTCAGAGAAGCGGCAAGTATAGGTTTGCCATCACATCAGATGATACATCAGAGCTGTGGCTGAGTCCTAATGAAGATCCCGCTTCTATTAAGATGATCGCGCGCGTTGATTCTAGTCTGGCAATGACCAAGACTGAAGAAGGAGACTAGAAGTTGAATCCTGACCACATCTCGAAGGAAATCGTTCTTCGCGCCGGGAAGAAATATTACATCGAGTCTTTGAGTAAG